AAAAAAAAAAAAAAAAAAAAAAAAAAACTGCGTACGAACGATTTTGTTAACCGACAGTTACAGTCGGTAACTCGTTCATGTATGTATACAATAATTGTAAATATACGTATATGTACGGTACGATAATTCTAAAATTCTTATATTTGAAACTTGTGTTTCTTGATCTTCTCTGTTATTTAGTTTTGACATTGAAAGTTACTCTCAAAGCCAAGGCAAAGCAAGATAAAATACCTGTATCTTCAGATTCGATTTAATTATTTTCTTCTTCTCGTTTATTACAATTTACATTGTTAACAGTTATTTGAATTCTTCGAGTTCGATTTTCTACGGACTGTATCGACAAAGTAATGCTACCGTCAGCATTAACAGATCGTTCGAACAATGATGAAAGGAAAAGATTCGATTCTCATCACGAAAATTGACATCGCTATAGAACGTGGCGTTCAATAAACGTAAAATGAGAAGGCGAATTAAGGAGGATTTGCGCGATGAGTAACCACGATCAACGGTATCTTATCATCGGTTTTGTTATCAGAGGCACTCGGCTTCATACAGAAAAACCAACTACAGTTCTCGGCGTAAGGTTCTGTTGACGGTGGTCGCGCCAGGAATCATGGATTACCGATGTTTCATCGCCGTTGTTCTCGCTTCTGCGATTGCTGAAATCGTCGCCAGCAATACAAGCGAAACTGCGACAGCTGGAACAACCGAGCCGGAGAACGGAACGTCTGAAACGGAACTTCCAAGTTTGTGCAGCGTGTGCAACTGCGAAGGTAATTTTCTATCAAACAAACTCGAAATTGCTATAAATTGAGGCCATTAAGGACCAAGTGGCAGCCTTACGCGATCTTACAAATAATCCAATTCCTCCGAGCATTGCAAAACTGTGAAGTCTAGGTGGAGGAAGGTAACGATGAGTTCGTGGAATTTTCTGTCGTGGTAAGAAAAAAAAAAAAAAGAAACGAAATCAGATAAATTGAACCTTGATGAGTTCACAGGGATCATATTGTTATATTATATATAAGGATCATACGGGGAGAGGACATGATTAAGAACAATTGATAAACCTAACTTCGTAAAAAAAAAAAAGGAATAATATTTATGACGTTTTAGCAAATATTTTGAAATGTCCAAGAAAGCGGAAAAAGAAGAACTGATAACGCACCGTGAATTCTAAGATCGTTTCTCCGCGAAGCACGAATAAATATTTTCCTCCTGTGATCCTTTATGTATAAAGGATTAAACGAAATGAAAGAAAAGAAAAAAAAAAACCAAATGTAATATGTATAAAAAAATTTTCGAATATGTGAAACGACAGAAATTCAAATTTCGAATGATTTCCGATCAGATGACAACGTAGATTGCGCGAACAAAACTTTGACTGACCACTTCAAAGACGTACAATGGCCAAACAAAGCTATAAAAGTTGCGTCGTTCAACGGGAATTTGCTGGTTCATGTGAAACAGTTCCCACAAATAGAAATCAGGAAATTGATCCTGCAAAGGAACAAGATCACGAAAATCGATCATCGAGCTTTCAAACAGATAATTAACCTTACGGAATTGGACCTGAGTCACAATCAACTAACGTCGGAGAATTTGCAACCCCAGGTGTTCGAGGTAATACACATGTAATAAGTTGAGCATTAGAGAAATGTAATATATTTATTTCATCGCGATCGCGATGATTCACGCAATTTTTTTTTTTGTTACAAGTCACAATCGTTACGTGATAACGTTAATTCTTGGAAAAATTCGACGTAACTCGTGATAAATCAATTATTTATCACTTGTCGCATAGAGCAATTATTTGCAATGACGAATATATCTCGCTGTTGGCACCATTATTCTCTCGAAAAACTGATTTAATACAATACTAAATCTCGACCTCGTGATACATTTAGGGCAAATTCTCGATGGCAGATTACGAGCCATTGGGAAAGCTGTTGATCTTAAATTTGGCCCACAACGTGCTCCATTCGTTGCATCAAGATCTTTTCGAGCATATGACGAGCCTGAAAGTGTTGAACCTTTCCTGGAATCTGTTTACGAAGATCGATAGTCGCACATCGCTGGCGATCAGCTCTCTTCTGAATCTAGAAGAGTTAGACTTGAGTTACTGCGGTCTGAAGACACTTCCGGACAGCCAGTTCCAGTCGTTCAGGTGAACACTTCAGTTTCTCGATACTAGTCGCAAACTATCAGTCGCAAACATTGATACAACAACGGGAACTGATTCGATAGCACGGATTGCTTTGATAAGAAACTCCAGATACCGTGTTCCGCAGAGCTCGTCAAAGACGAGCGAAATTTCATAAACTGAATCCTCTGGTTTTCTTTAATATATATATATGTTCATTTTGAGATTACTTGCTGCACGAGTATCGTTTACTATATGTACGTTGTGTTGTTTTTAATATTTCGCAACACCGCCTCTGTTTAAATCTAATCAAATACCTTTAACTATCAATTAATTAGGTATCTTAAAAAGCTGGAGTTGAGCGGAAATCGGCTAACATCGCCGCCAAGTGCCCTCGAAGAAGCAACGGTGCTCGAGGCCCTTTACCTAGATGAAAATCCGATTCAAATAATCGGTCCGGATCATCCACATCGGTTCCCAGCGATGACGAAACTGAAATTGTTAAGCCTCTGTTGCATGCCTTATTTGACGACAGTTGGACCACAGGCTTTTTCAGGCCTGGCCTCCCTCGAGAATCTTACTATAAACAATTGTCCAAAACTGGAGACGATCGATGACTATGCTCTTGCCAATCTCAAGGTAATTTCCATTCCCATTGCTCTTATTCATGTTCCAAATATTATCAACTTAATAGCCTCCTATTAATTTCATACTTCCTCTTCGATTTAGCCTCGTTAGGATTCACAAGCGAAAAGATATTAGTTCAATACGCACATACACAAAGTATAGTATTTATTACAACAGTGGATATAATGGGAATAAACTTACATTTAAATATCATTCATTTGCACGAAAATTCCCCGATCCACTTAGAAATGACCGATTGAAATCATGAAGTTATGGTTCTTTACGCATGACCGGTAATTTCCATCTTTTACAGTATGTCAATCAGATTGTTTCGCAAGGATCGTCTACGTTACACGTTGTTTAAACCGATCGTGTTGAAAAAGAAGATCATTAGGGTGATATTATACGCCAGAGCTATTATCATTATAAATTTTTGTAGAATGACACGGAGGGACCTGTGTGGCCGCCACTAAAGAAACTCGATCTATCAGATAACGCCCTGCGATACTTGCCTCAGCTATTCGTAGCAAGGTGGGACTGGCTTGAAGAATTGGATCTGATGAACAACAAATGGAGCTGCGATTGCAATAATCAATATCTGGTAAGTTCTGGCAATCACGAAACACACGGTCCACGGTCCATTTGAATCGTGCGTATCCTTGCATCGAACCGATCGATCGTTCCTCCGATACCAATTGAACGTCAGCGGAGGAGAAACCCGATAAGTGCATCTCTGCTGATTTCTCTGATTTCAATGCCGCCCTCGGATTAAACGGCAGAATTTTTAATGTAACACGATTTTGAATGAAAAAATGATTTGATAGACGCGGGTGAACTGACGAGTTGGTCGAGTCCGTGGTGGCTTGTAATTAAAATTGAATATATAGTCTTGAGAATTTTGATAAATTGAACTTGAAAATTTGTCGTCCTTTCTTTCGAGCAATCGAGTACATCAAATTTTAAAAAAATATTGTTACGAAAGCAGTAAGTTCCAAGAAAAGGAAAACAAACTATGACTCCTTGTCGATTGAAATTATATCAATTTATAGTACTTTATATAGTTCTATTAAACGTTACTACATTTTATATTCAAATTTTCGGACTGCAGTGATACAAGGTGCATACGAGTCGCGAGAATATTTTTCGAAAACGGATCAATATCGAAATATCATAAATTTTTCATATCGAAACAAACTGAAACACGCGCAAGGTATCGATTCTGTCATCCTTTGAAATTATTCTATCATACAGAAATTACTCTCGTTGATGATCTAAAAAAAAAAAAAAAAAAAAAAAAAAAACGAAAGCTTGTTAAAAAGAACTTTCGACAACGAAATATGAATGTTATTTTTCTAGATCAATAGACTGCTGCCGAAGTACGGGTCGAAGCTGATGGGGAAGCAAATGAATTTACTCACCTGTGCTTTGCCGCCGGAACACGCTGGCAAGAACCTGATATCGTTATCCAATCGGAAGTTGCGTTGCTTGGACTTGAATGGCGCAAGGCCGGAAAAAGACGCGACGATCCTCATCGGCGTGTTGATCGGTATAATGCTCGCCATTCCAGTTTGCTTGACGATCTTCATTTTCTGGCGTCGTGGCTTCTTCTTCTGCGGCAGCCAAAATCCTGCAAGTTTCTCACGAGCTTTCTACAAACGAACCATGAACGACGAGGAATACTAAATTTCCTTTTTTTTTTTTTTTATCTGTTTCTCATCCTCGTCGACAAGAACGTAAAAAATTAATACAACGGTTAGACTGAAGAGGATGCGTTTATGCAAATTTATAGTTTATTCTCTCGTATAGGATAATCTTGTCCATCTGAGTTCAATTCGGCGTGTTTTAATTTGCACACAAATCACCAAACATCCGCAGTTTAATAGTATTTCCAGCATCGATTGTTATAACTCGCTTGCAAGGTGAGTAAATTTCATGGAAGCTGTAGAGAGAGAGAGAGAGAGAGAGAGAGAGAGAGAGAGAGAGAGAGCGCAAGCGTGTGTTGTAAGTCATTTATCAGATATGGACGGGGTTTTTATTAAGGTTTTGTGATAAAACGTAAAATAGAGACGATAAGACGAAAGATACGACTGTTTGATTGGCAAGATAATGGAAAAGAAAGATTAAACATTTTGTAGGATATGGCAGTTATTTTGACCATGTTAATTTATGTTGATCATGATTCATTCAAGGTATTCTAGGCATGCATTTCACTCATACATGTGAATGTATTTAATTAATCCAGTGATGCACGTATTTTTGTAATAAAACTTTAATGTATGTACTGTGGATTTATTTATTCTCATGGTGGAGTTAAAGTCGAAAGTAGAAAGAGTCGGAAGTTTCTAGGAAAGAATGACAAAGCAAAGGACAATTGGACGATCGTTTTGCACTTCCCTCTGTGAAAGCTTTACCACGATTGACTTTCAAATGCCTGTGTAATTATCTGTCTGGAAGATCGGTAATTACAACTACATTATCTCCATCACGGTGAATCTTCAAACAGTTTCGTTTACATTGCTCTTGATATTCTACACTGCGCTCAATTGTCTGATTTCTTTTTTTTTTTTTTATTATTAAGAATAATACGAAGAATATGTCAGAAATACTCAAGTATATAAAATATGGACGATGACAAATAACTCCTGGAAATTAGTAAAAATGTTAGTCTACTTTTATATTTCAACGCTTCTATATTTTTATAGTTTCTTTCTTCGAGCTCTTCATCTCATATGTCTCACTGCCCCAGAATTGGTCTAATGTCTCCTGCAAGGTATTGCATACTGTAATATAGCACAGTATAGTGTAATTCAGTAACATAATATACATATTTTCATGTACATCTACATAATATACATATTATATATATGCAACATAATATACATATTTCCATGTACATTTCTATATTTCCAAGAATTATTCAAAAACTCTCAAAGTTTTTAGCATAGTATAAGTATACAGTGCAGTATACACATACAGACACATACTGTATAATATATAATTATTATAATTATAATAATTATAAATTATACAGTATACATAGTATAATTATACAGTATATATAATATAATTATATTATATGTAGTGCAAGTAGTATATTATTATAATTATAATAATTATAAATTATACATATATAGCATTTATAGCAATTATAGCATATATAGTATACTATTATAATTATAATAAATATAAATTATACAGTATATATAGTATAATTATACAGTATATATAATATAATTGTATTATATACAGTGCAGTATACATATTTCCCATGCGTCTAAATTTCTATATTTCCAAGGCCATGTACTTCGACGAACCAGTCCAAATACTGTAAAAGTATGAGTATACTTTCGCCGTCGTCGTTCGACTTTATCTGCTCGACTCGATTTAAATAATATACCGTGGCATACAAGTTATAAACTATTGTATTACAGGGCTTGAGCCCTGTTTAGTGAAACGCACGTGCAATGACGCAATCGTCTGTAAAACTTGAGCCGGTGTATCCATCCGCATCCGTGCATTGGAGAGAGATGCTGCCACTCTATTTAGGCGACGACGGTAGGGGGGAAGTGGCGCGTGCCGGCATTTAGACGGGGGTTGCTTCCGCGATTATTGGGTAAATTAACATGCCGGTAATTGTGTTAGCGACGAGTGTCCATTCATCCGTCCGGTCGATCCCTCGGCGGTCCGCAATACGACGTGGCCAGCCCCCCGATGTCGACGCTCCAAGTCCCGAAATCCCGTCCGCAAGCTTAACCGGCTGCCGTCGAAACCCAGCCCTCCCGATGTTCCGGAAACCGCTGTTCCAAAGTCCGCTCGCCGCGCTCTAAACACATTCTCTCGGGACTTGTTACGCGAAAAATCGCCAATCACCGTTTCGACGTTAAACGACTGCGACTATTATGCATCGTTTGATAAGCGGCTGTTCGGCTATGTATATATATATATATATGTGTGTGTATCTTGAGAATCGAGTAGGGCTGGAAATGCGGATGTGATGATGTCTGGAAATTGTAATAAAATAAAAGAATATCATGGCTCAAGTCAGTTCGCTATCACTTTTCATAAGATAGTGTCCCACTTTCGTTATCACGAGAACGTCGTATTACGAAATATTTCGTGAGATTAAGAAATACTTACTTGGCTACCGAATTGAAGCTTGCCGTATGAACATTCGTGGACGTTCAGGGAGTATAGAGAAATATAGACTGGGGACATGGATTCGTACTCCCAGAAGAAGAAGAATGAAAATGGAACAAATTATAGTTGAACCATCCCTGTCTTCATTTCAGTAGGTTGTAATTAGTGGTTGGATAGGATCTCTCGACGTAAAAAATTACGTTAGCACGTACGGCGTGATGGCACAATAATTTCATCGATCGAAACGTATCCTACGCCCGGGCTACGGAGGATCATGCACGCAGAACACCAATCTATTTTGGACGTGCATCATAAGTAGGTATCCACATCCATGCGTCGTGTACAGATCGTCCAATGAGTAAATCTGATTTTCATTCTCTTGCTGCCTCCTGATCCGCATTCTCCACCCTTTCGAGATTCCGTACAGATGTATTGACTTGCGAAAAGCTTTTATATACTTCGACGCAGACGGGGGGATCAATACTTGTGAGAAAGAAGTATAAAACAGGAGAGAGAGAAAGAGAGAGAGAAAGAAAAGTGGATGAAATGCACGAACAATGGACAAACGCAATTCGTTTCCCTGTTTTTTTTCTAAAAGGTTTATTATTAAAGTTTTTCATGGACAATAAAATGAAGTTCGTGATACGGTGGAGAACAAAGGATTTAAAATGGAATTTCGAGCAGCTTCTAATCTCGTAAAAGGGAAATAGATACCTCGGGATTTAGAAAATGTTAGTTTCTATCGCTAGATCGAAACAACAGTGCTGACAGTTCTGACAAAATTCTATCTCTGGAAAGGAAATCCCATCTCGAGAGCAAAATCCACGCAGCGACTGATTCTTGACTGAAAAAGAGACGCGAATAAATCCAGTGATTTTCGTCAAAAACAGTGCCACAAAAGGACCATCTCCCACAATACATTCCTCTCTCGTTCATATCCATGCAACTATGGCCTCGAAAAAAAAAAAAAAGAAGAAAAGGAAAAAAGAAATTTCGCCTCCGAGAG